AAGAAGTTTCTTATCAATATTGTTGTGAAAAGTTTTAATTTTGCATTACTTTTCATCGTTTTTTAATGAATGATAATTAATAGGCTTGTGCAAGACCTCCGTGAGTTCAAGTATGCCATGTGGCGACTTGAGAGTTCTCTAGCTTGGAATTTGATATTTATCTATTCTTTCGGAAGTTGCTGAAAAGAACAGTAAAAGTTACCTATTCCACTTGAGGATGCCATTTTTGCCAATAAATCAGCCATTCAGTTGGCCATTTTGAAATAATAGCGTACTTGTGTTTTATTTATGTCCATCTTGAGCCTTATTTCACTGATGATCGCTTTGAGTTTGAGGTTGGAATTAATCTATTCTTTTATCATAGAGTCCATCTCCAAGTCCAGTCTGTTGATATTGTTTTGATTGCACCATCGAACACCATATCTAACAGCTTCTGCTTCTGCTTGATTATTACAAGATCTCCAACTGCATCTCTAATGATACCCTTAATTCCAGCTCGGTTATTGCTACTTAAGAAACTACCATTTGAATCTTTTTTTTTCAGACAACGACCTTACAACTCACCACTGGTGTCATTCTTTGCACAGTTTGACAAATATGTAGTCATGTGTTGTATCATCAAACAATTTGCATTTAGGGAAAGCCATACAAATAGTAGTTTTAATATTCCACAAAGTTTGAGTCTCCATTCTTCTAGTATTGAACTTCTTCTTGTCGCTATGCATGATGTCCAACTTTTCCAACTCTCCCAAAATATGCAAATAGGAACAATTTGGAGTAGAAGCTTGTGAACATTGTTGTGATGGATTCTATTTCTCCATTTTTCCATGATTGTCTTCGGAGGGCTATGTTAATGTATGGCTCCCAAAGGGCCTCCGAACAATCTCCATATGATGAGGTCTAACTATCCCACCACATTATGCATTCACCCTCATTAATTCTCCAAATGATATTGGGTTCTTCTTTCTCTCTTTCATTCACAAGAAGTTTCCAATCCTGAGAATTCCCATAACACCATTTCTTGGCAACAGTATGGGTTCTAATACAATATTTGGAGTTCATAAATATAGTGGCACAACATGAGAAAATTTTTCATCACACATTCCACATGCAATTAATTTAGTATAAGTCACTATTATGTTTCTCTTAATTAAGCTGAATCATATATTATATACAGTGGGGAACTCCTATCTATAAAGTTGTACCACTTCTTTGTCATTTTGATCAAGTTCATAAGAGAAAAGGTTATATACCAGCAATACAATGAAATGGTAAAATCACACATGAACATATTAGTTTATATAGTATTACTATTTGATATTCATTATTTATTCTCCGACTAATTTATATTTGTGTTGAGTCAGGACTTTTTTCGTTTATCTCTTTTAGGACCAAACTATGATTCATTCTTGTTCAATATCATCTTTATAGGAGAAAGAGGAACTTTGATTTTTTAGTTTGTTTCAAAACTTCCTTAGGAAAGAAAATGCATCTACCTAGGGTGTTTCTCCTTGCTATTTTTTGGTGACAATTCATTCTTCCTTGTTCATGTTTTCTTCCTTATGTAGTCATGTCCTAGGTCGATTAGTAAGATTTCCTCGTTTGTTTTCCGTAGGGTTGTTAGCCTACTTTTTTCAGGTTTAAGTGGGTTATCATCCCCTTTGGTTAAGGGGTCTATCTTGTTTGACCTTTCTTCGCAATCCATTTGCTATGTCAACATATTTTTGATGTGACATGTCGAGGCCAAAGATGAGGGCTTTGATTGGGACACTAAGTTGCCAATACCCTATTGAATGTCATGCTAGAACATCTATTGTGAATCCCATCCCCTTAGGTGGCTGCCTCCACTTGAGGGGGGTGGGGTGGGGTGGGGGGGGACCGGTTGAATGGGACTTTTCGGATTATTGGAAAGCATGTTTGATTTTTAGTGAGAAAGGAGAGTTTCTCTATCTTCAAAAAAAACGATGAATGACATTCATCAACTTTTATGTAGAAGTCTCGTGTAGGAATATTAAGAATAAGTAACTTCTAATCAAGAGTTCTTTCCCCATCAATAGTGTATCGAAGACAAATCTATATATACTAAACAGATCCTAAGTAGATGTAATCTTTCAATTTTCAACCTTACATTTTTGATTTGAGCTTGAGAAAAGAGGAACACTCTAGTCGGGATTGATTTAAGGAAGGTAATATATTGATCAAATCAAAAGTTGAAAATTCTTGAAAATTGTAAATTTTTAATTCATCCACATCATAATTAATAAGGGCATAATGATAAACTCAATATATCAATAATTATTTTCTTAACAGGTTTCTCAATTAAAGTGGACAAGTAATTAGAAACAGAAAGTCTTACCTATTAAAGTGAAAAATAAAATTAATTGTTGATTTATCGGTTAGTTAAATAAATTAAAGTGAAAATTTATTCACTTAATCATATATTATCATTTATTAAGTGGATGATCGTTAATTGGCTAATCTTGCTTTAAAAAATGTAACGACGTGTCCCATCATTTATTAAAAAATGAACATGTAATGCACGTGTTACAAAAAGCTAGTAAGTTTTATAATAAAAGGGTTTGTTGCCTTATCTCGGACAAAATAACTAAAAGAATTCAAAGTTCATTTTTCTCAAATAAAAACAGTTAATTTGCCTCGATTTAGAATGAATCACCATCAAAAAATAGAAAAAAGAAACACCCTAAATAGGAGCGTTGTCCCTTGTAAGAATGTTTTAAAAGAAATTAAAAATCCAAAGTTCTTCTTATCAAGTTGTTAATTTTATGATCTAACAAGGATGAATCATAGTCGGTCCTAAAGTTGTATCCAAAAAATTGACTTGCACAAATATAAATTTATCGGCGAATAAATAATGAATATCAAATTATGACATCAAATAATAATAATAAATAAGCTAACATATTTATGTATGATTTTTTACTATTTCGTTGTTGTATTGCTAGCATATAACAATTTCTTTCACGAACTTGATGAAAATGATAGCATAGTCAAACATCATAAAGAAATATTTTACCACACACTACACATGCAATTAAATTAGTATAAGTCGCCATTATGTTTTTCTTAACCAAGCTGAATCATATAATGGTGACTTATACTAATTTAATTGCATGCCGACTGTGTGTATTTTCCGCATGTGTGTAACTACTCTATCTTTTTGATGAAGTTCATAAAAGAAAAGGTTATATGATAGCAATACAAGAAAATGGTAAAATCACATATAAGTATATTAGTTTATATATAATTACTATTTGATATATTCATTATTATATTTATTTTCCGACCGATTTATATGTGTTAAGTCGGACTTTTTTGTTATTTCTTTTAGTACCGACGACAATTCATTCCTGTTAGATAATAAAATAACCAACTTGATAAGAACTTTGAATTTTTAGTTTTGTTTAAAAAAGTTCTTATGAGGGATAGAGCTCCTATCTAGGGTGTCTCTCTCTTCTATTTTTTGTGCTAATTCATTCTAAATCGAGGTAAATCAACTTTTTTTATTTGAGGAAGATGAACTTTAAATTCTTTTAGTTATTTTGTCCGAGATAAGTCAACAAACACTTTTTGTTATAAAACTTACTAGTTTTTCTTAACACGCGCATTACATGCTCAAATTTAATAATTGATGGGATGTGTCGTTACATTTTGTTAAAGCCAAATTAGTCAATTATACTCTTATTAATTATGAAGTGGATGAAATAAAAATTTAAAATTTTCAAGAAATTTTACCTTTTGATTCGATTAATAAATTACCTTCCTTAAAACAATCTCAATTACACATTATGGTCTCATTATAGAGAGGTACTGACAAACTTCAACTATCATTATGAACTTAATTATAGCTCTTATAAGCAAAAGAGTTCATTGTTTATCTTGGACAAAATAACATATGAATAATTGTCATCTTTGAACATAGAGTTAAAGAAGTAGTTGATAAATTTGGCAGGAAATAGTATTAGTTTCATAACTATACTACCTGTGAACAACTCCTACATAACTCTGATTTCACTCTGGTTAGATAGCTGCCCTGGTAAGGAAGTTATACTTTAACTAATAATTCAACGTCCATCTTCCTTGTATAAAAAATGTTAATGTTGAATCGATTTAGAAGGAATCACCATCTAAAAATAGAATGGAGAAATACCCTAGATTGAATCGTTTTCCATTGTAAGTTTTGAACAAACTAAAAATTCAAAATTCTTATTAAGATTAGTGATTTTTTGATCGAACAAAAATGAATCATAGTCGATCCTAAAGAGTTAACAAAAAAATTGACTTAACCCAAATATAAATTTGTCGACGAATAAATAATGAATATCAAATAATAATACTATATAAACTAACATATTCATGCATTATTTTTTAGCATTTCGTAGTATTGTTAGCACATAACATTTTCTTCCATAAATTGTTCATCTTCTATATCTCAATGTATTCTATGTCTATTTAATAAGATACTAGGTAAATACTAAATATTACTACCGGATACAAAGACGATAAGCAGAGGAGAATAGCCTCTGCCTCTCCCACATAAATGTACGACAATACTAAGCTACCTACTATTCAACTACATTCTGATCTAGCGTCATGTCATTATTAAGCCAAAGTGAACAAGATCCCAATCTGTGCACTACTATAAACATATACTCGAGTAATTGTCTACAAAAAGAATACTTACCCCAATCTCCTTAGTTACCTAAGTTACATAACTTCTATCTTGTCTCCTATGAGTCTCAGTCACATTCTTCCTCGATCAACAACTTTTTCCATCGTCATCTGAAAAATTTAAATTGTATAACATTAGTAACTAGGTGAGAATATACCTGACAAAGCACATCATTTTATTACTGGTTTTGCTTCGGTATCTATGCATACGCATTAAATAAGTTTTACATATACACATATATAGCCAATTACTTATTAGCTAAACATACTATCAACGCAAGAATGTGAATTGCTCGTAGATGTAGGAAATATGAAAGGAAATAGTATCTTTAGAGAATGCTCAAGTTTATTATAGGCTACTTAAGGCCACTTGAGATGATTACAATCATCAACTACATCACTATTTATACTACTCAAAATAGAAAATAAAAAATCTTTCATAAATAACTAGATAGATGTATCACAATTTACTAGATTCATGTACTGCGAAATTCTAAAGAGAATTCTTGAAAATCTAAGAGACAATTTCGGAAGACTAAACATTGATGCATTAATTCCAACACTCCTCCTTAATGAATTTGCTTAATAATTCCAACGCGTTCTCGAATATAGCAAATTTTTTCTGTAGGAAATGCTTTGGTAAAGATGTCAGCAAGTTGTTCTCCTGTCTAACAAAAATGCAACTAAATTTTGCCTTTCTCCTATGCTTCTCAAATAAAACGATACTTGATGGAAATATGCTTTGATCTTTCATGGATGACTGGATTCTTGGCAATTACAATTGCTTATTTGTATCACAATACAGAACAATAACCTCTTTTTTTGTTTTTCACCAATGTCTTCAAATGTTCTCCTAAACTAAATAGCTTGAGAAGCAGCCTTGGATGTTGAAACATATTCTGCTTAAGCAACGGATTAAGCAACAACACTTTGCTTTTTTGATTACCATGAATAAATACTTGATCCAAATAAGAAAGCATAATCAGAAGTACTCTTCATGTTATCTAACTAATTAAGTTCAAATCTCCACCGAATTTGTATGTTATCCCATAATCCATTGTTCCTTGCAAGTAGCGTAGAACACGCTTTGCAGCTCCAAAATGCACTTGACTTGGTTCTTGCATGAATCGGGATAATAAACTAGCTGCAAACATAATATCTGGCCTTGTTGAAGTAAGATAGCAAACTTCCAATCAAACTCCTATAAAATGAGCTATTAGCTTTATTTTTTCCATAATCTTTTCTAAACTTCTTATTTGTTGCTAATGGTATGACGACATACCTGCAATCCATGATTTTGAATTTTTGAAGAATACTTTTAGTATACTTCTTTTGAGAAATGAAAATTCCTTCTTTCACTTGAGAAACTTCGATGCCCAAGAAATAATTTAGCAACCCAAGATCACTCATTTCATAGGCTTGCATCATATCCTTTTTGAATTTTTGTATCATCTTTACATGATTTCCTGTAAGGAGAAGATCATCCACACAGAGACAAACAATGATAATGTTGTCATTTTCTTTCTTAACATACAAAGTGGCTTCACTTTTACTTCTGAAAATAATTTTTTAGAAAGTATGTATTAGTTTCATTTTACCAGGCTGTTGGATCTTGCTTCAGCCCATAAAGAGCTTTTTTTAGCCTGTACACCTTCTCTTCTCCCCCTTGAACAAAAAATACTTGAGGTTGCTCAACATAAATATCTTCATCAAGTTTTCCATTCAGAAATGCAGATATAACATCAAGTTGAAATATCTTCCATTTCATTTGTGCAGCAACATCAATTACAGTTCTTATTGTCTCAAGACGAGCAACTGGAGATAAAGTTTCATAAAAATCAATACCTGGTTTTGCGTGAAGCCTGTAGCAACCAACCTTGATTTGTGCTTTTAAATATCTCCTTCCTGATTGAGTTTGATTTCGTAAATCCATTTTAGACTTACAACTTCTCTTTTTCTGGGTGTCACACCCAGAGTTAGCCCCGAACGCGGACAAGGAACCTAGGACCATAAGTGATCCCAAGCTAACCCTGCTAGCATGATCATGAGCATACTAAAGATAATAAACTGATGCAGGAAACTAAATCATAATTTATAATGAAAAGATGGGGAATACCCATATGCTTAAACTAATATATTTTAAAATAATGAGTTTAATACAATGAAGTCACTAACTCAATACTAAGTTGAATTTAACTATGTCTGAAATAAGCCTCTAACTGACTAGAACTACTGGGACAAGCCCTAGCTAAATCTAGAAAAACTAAAACTAAAAGACTAAACACTGAAAAGAAACTCATGACATTGCCCTCGGAAAATGAGGATTCACCACTGAATCTGCTGAACTAAAGATTGGAGAATCATTCTATGTGTGATCTGGATGCTGAGAACCTGAACCTACATCACGAGAATATGTAGCGCATGTATGCCTTAGTACTTAAAAGGTACTAAGCATGTAGGATAGAATAAATCGGAAATAAAACATAACTGAACAAGCATGAGCAAGTATAATAATATGAACATGATATAGATTATGAATGCTGAGATAACTGAATGAATTGACCAATTTATAAAATGCTGAAACTGGATACTGAGTATACGGATAAATGGTCAATGCAAGAGAGTCTGTTTGAACTGTGGGAGCTACTAATAACCGATAATAAAACCACGTGAGCTAAATGTGCAGTCTGATGTATATGCCCCATTGAGAGGATCCAATATACCCTGCCAAAGGTATAAAGTCATTCTGGCGTGATTAGTAAACTGATTGCCCGTAGAGGGGACTTACAACCTACTTAGCTAGTAGTTCTGGGACTAACTGGGTACGCTGAACCCAAGTCCAACTCGGTATTATTCTACTCCCATGAATTATATAACTAACTGATTGTGATTGATTTTTCATTAATTACTGGATAGCTCAAAACTGAACATGCAAACTGAGAATGCAACATTTAAACTGATAATGATGCATTAAAAACTGAGGCATGTATAACTGAATAGCTGAAATATCTGATCTAGCTTGTGTAATTCAATAACTAAAGAAATACATAGCTAGGGTTCTGAAATTCATGCAATAAATTGAGTAATAACATGATAATCTGATTTGTAACATATAACTAATAAGTTCATAAAGTTCTGTTAAAGTGCTAGAAACCCTTTGTCTAATCATGATATGGGAATCAAGAATCTGACTGAAAACTAGGGACCCAATGGGTGAAAGGAACCCAGTAGTGAAATTCCACATACCTGGTGATGAAATTCACGGAGAAACACTTAGATTTAGTGGTTATAACTGTTGGAGCCTTGCTACGTTCTTGAACTAGGATTCTTGCCTTTTTCTCCTTTCTTGCTCCTAATTTTCTAAGTTTTGATTAATGATTTGACTTAGATAAGTTTTAGTTATGCTGGATTAAACTGACTAAAATCGGATGATTTATAGTCAAAATGACGTATCTTAGGGTTTAAATGAAATGGGAAAAAACCAAAAGACCCCTGGGTAAAGGGCTATTGGACCAAACGACGACCAGGATTGACCATCCGTCGTTCCATCGATGGCCCATCGTTTGGTCCGTAGGTTGGGCCTGTTCGACAGGCCTTTACTAATATGGGCATAACTTTTTACTTGGAGGTCGGATTTCAGCAAGGTCGGTGGCTATAAGCTAATTAAGTAGGTCATGGGACACCTAATTCATTTTGTGCTACGAGTTATGACTATTTGAAGATGACCCAACTGCACTTCCCCTTTAATTGCCTGTTAATTCCAACCTACGGTCAGACCTACGGACCGTGGGTCCACCTACGGACCATGTTGGTCATCTGTGGTTCTTGTCAGAGAGTGGGTGAATGAGGTCTCAATCGATGGTCATAGACTATGGAACATAGCTTGACCTACGGACCGTAGGTCCGTCCATCAATGGATGTGTAGGATGGATCGAGGGTCCGTCAATGGTCCGTCAATTCCACCGTTGGTTGCACCTACAGATTTTTCTGTAACGCTGATTTTTGGTTTGTTTTTGATACGAGGTGTTACACTGGGTATAGCCACAAGCTCCCAAGTATTATTTTTTTCAATCATTCGAATTTCTTCTTCCATGGTTTTCTTCCAAACATCATGCTTTATTGCTTCCTCATAATTTTCTAGTTCAACACCGACAAAGTTACATCTTTAATAAATGTCACTCAATATTTTTGTTCCTCTTGGAAACGGTTCTTCATCATTTGAATCTGGTATTTCTCTCTCTTGAGAGACATCTTCATCCTTCTCATCCTCTTCTTGATTTGAATATATGATAGCAGTATTCTCTATCTTTTTATCCTTCCAATTTCATGTTGTTTTTTCATCAGAAAAGACATCTCTACTAACAACAAGTTTGTTAGTTTTGATATCGAGAAGCCTATATACTTTTGTCACATCACTATAACCAAGAAAGATACATTTTTGAATTTTTTCATCCAATTTTGTTCTTTTCTCAGCAGGTACATAAGCATAACAAATACACCCAAAATTTTTAAAATGACTTACAGAAGGTTTAATTCCACGCCAAGATTCAACTAGTGTCTTGTCCTTTAGTGCTTTTGTTGGACACCTGTTAAGGATGTGAACTGTTGTATGCACTACTTCTGCCCAAAAATATTTTGGCAGCCCAATCTCATTCATCATAGTTCAGGTCATTTTAACAATTGTTCTATTTCTTCTTTTAAATACACTATTTTGTTGAGGAGTACACCCTGCTGTAAGTTGCTTCTGAATGCCTTAATCTTTGTTCTCGACTTGTGTATTCACCTCCTCTATCACAGCGAATGGTTTTAATGTTGCAAAATTTTTGCTTCTCAACAAGGGCTTTAAGTTTCTTGAATGTAGCAAATGTTTCTAACTTTTTGATGGAAAGCTTAGAAAGATCTTTCGTCTCCTCAGTGATAGCAACAATGTACTCATACTTTTCTGTGACACTAATTAAAATCTTTTCCACAACTTGTTGGTAGAAGTTGTATCACCATGATTTCTCAATTCATTAACAATATTCATTACTCTTGTGCAATATTCATCAATATTTTTAAATTCTATCATCTTCAAATTTTGAAACTCTCTTCTAAGAGTTTGAAGATTTATAGTGGGTGCCTTTTCGTCACCATACACCTTAGTTTCCAGAGAATCCCAAGCTTCCTTTGCAGTCTCACAAGTAGCATTTTTTGCAAAATATGCTCTTGAGATTCCCATTTGGATTTTTCTCAAGGTTTTTTCATCTTGACGATACTAAGCCTCAATATTTTTCATCTCTGCTGCTATAAGATCACCATCATTGTCTCGCTCTTCACAGCCATTTGCAACAATAGTTCACAAACCTTCAACTTTCAAATTTGTTTTCATTCTTATCTTCCAGTATTCAAAATCAATTCCATCAAAAATAGAGTAAGAACAATTGAAGAATCAGCACCTTGTTTTGGATGACATTTTTTCTTCACCTAACCCTAGATTAAGAACAAAAATCTGCTCTGATACCAATTTGTAGGAAATATGGAAGGAAATAGTATCATTTAGAGAATGCTAAAGTTTATTATAGGCTACTTAAGGTCACTTGAGATGATTACAATCATCAACTACAACACTATTTATACTACTCAAAATACAAAAGAAAAAGTCTTACACAAATAACTAAATACATGTATCACAATTAACTCGATATATGTACTACGAAATTCTAAAGAGACTTCTTGAAAAACTAAGAGACAATTTCAGAAGACTAAACATTGATGCATTAATTCAAACAGTAGAGACTAGAGACCTGCAGCTTTCATCATACTTCACCAATTTAAGCATAGAAAATACATACATACAACAAATAGATGCATAAATTCAATACATAATTCATAACTCTATCTTGTGATGTCATTAACTTCGCACCACATTCCGCATAGTGGCTGCATTCACCATCTGTCTGTTACCAAGAAACCAGTCATTGATTGATCAGAGTGCGTAAGCCAAGCAACTATAGGCACTCCCATAGTAATACTCTTAATGAGAGAATTCCGTCCACAATGACTCATTACTCATGAACTCATCCACAAATATTCAGAAACTAAAACATAAATGAACCAAGGAACACTGATATATGAAATACATTAAATCACTACTAAATTATGAGGATACCTTTGTTGATACTCGACCATATTTTCTATGTCGGCAAATCAGTTCCCAAAAGTGTAAAATTATATGAGCAAGTTTATAACAACTTAAAAACTACAATGAGTCCAAACTAAAAAATATACATAAATGTTAACTATAAACCAAAAATAATGTAAGATCAAATATTTGCCATAAATA